GGGATGTGGTCCGTAACACCCACATGTGCCACTGGGGACTCTGTGTGACCTCGGGGCCCAGATCTTCTGGCTTCATTGGTCCCTGTCTCCCCACCCTGGCCACCCCTTGAGGCCCATGGAGGATGGAGGGATGGCTCTGTCCTGTGTTGAAATGATGCCAGGATCAAGCAGGAGTGGGAAGAGAGAAATTCTCATGTGAATTATGAGGAGCATCAGGGGACTTTTACCCAGTCTTTTGTGAATATTTCTTGAGCTTTTGGTGTATGTGTATGTAAATATATATATTTAAACATGTATAAATATTTATATTTAATACTCTTTAAAAATTTTTTTAATGTTTATTTGTGAGAGAGACAGAACACAAGCAGGGGAAGAGCAGAGAGACAGGGAGACACAGAATCTGAAGCAGACTCCAGGCTCTGAGCTGTCAGCACAGTGCCCGACGTGGGGCTCAAACTCACGAACTGAGATCATGACCCGAGCTAGTCAGAAGCCCAACCGACTGAGCCACCCAGGCGCCCCTTTAATACTGTTTTTTTTGTGAGTGTGACAGTATTTTTCAACTGAAACTTTACTGAGATCATGAAGAATCACGTGTGGTTGTGAGAAATAATGTGGAGAGGCCCTGGGTAGAAGGTGCAGGTGGAGGAGCCAGCAGTGCAAAGGTGGTGTGCGAACTTGTCCCGTATGTGTAAAGAGCGCAGAGCAGGGTGAGGCTGGCGGTGGGCAGATGAGACAGGCTGTCCAGGGGCAGACAGGACTCAACTGAGTAGGGCTTTGGAGGCAGGACCAAGGCACTGGGGTTTTATGTGGAATGCAGTGGAAGCCACGGGGGGTGGGGGTGGGGGTCTTTAGCAGGGATGGGAGGGGATTGAATTTGTGTTGGAGTTTCCTCACTGACTCAGCTCTCCTCAATTCTGTCACCTCTTAGAACAGTGGCAGCTTGGGGCTAAGAGTGTTAATATGTCACCTCTCAGGGCTCCCTCCCTTCATGCCTGAGAGCTGCCAAATTCCAGAGTGGCCATTAACTTTCCTGACAGCCCAGTCAGACCCTCTCCCAGACCGGTGTCAAAGATTCATGAGGATGGCCTGTGGTCACTCGGGTCATTTGTCCCTCCTCCTGCCCTCCCCCAAGGTCTGACGGGCCAAGTCCGCGGCCTGTGGCCGGACCCTCTCTCAGTCACTGTGGGCCCCTCCTCTCGTCCTTGTGAAGACCCCTCAGCCACTTCACAGAGGGAGGCCGTCATAGGGCTCCTGCCCTCCTAGGCAGGGCTCAGGGCACAGCCTCAGGCACAGGGCTCCTGTCACTCTTCTCCCCAACTCTCTGCAGCAGAGAGAACACACACTCTGGGGCTCCTCAGCCCGGGAGGGCATCAGGACATTCATGGTACTCTGATGGTTAGGCGGCTTGGGACCCCCTCCCCAGCTTCCAAGGCCTCTCCAGGCCCAGCCCCAGGAAGCCTAAGCAGTACAGCCTGTGGCCAGTACCACCTGAAGTTTGGAACCAAGGCACCACAAGGACAGAGTGACCCTGGCATGCCCCCAGACTTCTGCTGGACTTAGTTTCTTCATCTTTATTTTTGTTTAAAAAAAAAATGTTTATTTTTGAGGAGAGAGAGAGAGAGGGCATGCAAGCAGGGGAGGCAGAGAGAGGGGGAAACAGAGGATCCAAGCAGGCTCTGTGCTGACAGCATAGAGCCCAATGAGGGTCTCGAACCCACAAACCATGAGATCATGACCTGAACCAAAGTCAGACGCTGAACTGACAGAGCCACCCAGGTGCCCCAGTTTCCTCGTTTTTAAATTTTTGTTTTTACATTTATTTATTTTTTTGAGAGACAGAGAGAGAAATGACAAGGTGGAGAGAGAGAATGAGACACAGAATCTGAAGCAGGCTCCAGGCTCCAAGCTGTCAGCACAGAGCCCGACATGGGGCTCGAACCCACAAACCATGAGATCATGCCCTGAGCCGAAGTCAGACGCTTAACCGACTGAGTCATCCAGGTGCCCCATCTTCGTCTTTAAAATAAGAGTGCAAGACATTGAGGCCCAGAATGAAATGCACAAAAGGAGGTCGCAGCCCTCCTGTGGCCCTCCCAGCCTTCCCTGCAGGACAGAACCCTGGGCCCCCAGCTGCGTCTCCCCTACATTAGTTAAGGCCTAGGCTGCAGGACAGAATCCCCACCACCAGCAGAGGGCTCCCCGAGGACGACCCCTGCCGGCCAGCACCAGCACAGTCCTGAGATAGAAGGGGTCCCAGCAGGTAGCTTCTGGTCCCAACAGAGGCTCTGACACCCTCACTGTGGTTTTTCCTCCTGACATTCTCCACTGACCCCAGCTGTGAAGTCTACAGCAAAGAATTCATGAAGTAACCAAGCACCAGCTGCTAATCTCTCCGCCCCCCGCCCCCCCGCCCCCCCGACTGAAATAAAGACTTTATTCATTAAGGCCATTTCTCTCCTGAATAAGATCATGAATAATGGAGAGGATGCCTCTCTGACACAGCCTGGGCAGGACCTGTGTGTACTTGAACGTGTGCATGTACATGTGTGCTTGTGCATACACGCGGCCTTCTGCGGCATCGCGGGCACCTGGAGACTGCTCGGCACCCCTGTCACGCCCTCTTTCTGCCCCGCCAGGATGTGTGCTCACCCTTGCTGTGGCTCTGGGCACCACAGACCCCCTCAGTGCCAGGGCAAGTCTTGGACAAGGGAAGGAATGTGGGGGGGGCGTTGCTGAGCGTGGGTGGTCGGGAGGTGGCTTGGAGCGTGAAGACAGACAGGGTGCTCACAACTGGAAAGGTTCTGGAAATGAGGATAAGGGGTGTGGACATCACCCTGTCTAGGTGGCCACTTCACCAAAAGGAGGCAAACTGTCCAGCCCTAAATACGAACAGGCTTCATGGAGCCACGAGCCAACCCAGTGCTGGAGGGTTCTGCTTAACTGAAGCCTGCACAAACTCCACAGTTTAGGGGATATCTGTGGGGACTTTCTTCTACCTCTTGTTCAGGAAAGCCCCTGCCGAGGACACCAGAGACGCTTAAAGTCCTGATGTTTGCTTTCCTGGCTCCTCTTGCAGCCAGAGATTAGGCACCTGACCTGGGCTGGACAGTCAGATTTCTCTACTCTTGACCTTGAACTGGTGACTCGGCTGAGAAAGCCCCATAGCAGCCTCTAGGCCCTAGGGGCAGCGGCACCAAGGCCAGTGAGGGTCCCAGGCCCAGTGCCCCTAGGCCAGCAGGGCCAGCAACAGAGGCCTGTGTGCTCAGCAGTAGCAGATGTGCTCTGGCTGGCCTTGTCCGGGGGGACTGTGGCTGAGGTCTGGCTGTCCCTTTGCTTGCTCTTTGCTCTCTGGTTTGTCTTCCGAGCCTGGCTCTCTGTCCTTTCTGGGAGGACTGTGGCTGGCCTGGGACACCCCCCCACGCCCCCGCCACCGCTGATTCCTTTCTAGTTATCATCAGCCTGGGTCCGTCTCTGCTTTTTACACCTGAGAATTGACTGATGCAGGGGCTGTTCGCCGCCCTGTGTCTGCATAACTTCCTGAATTGCACATTGTTTATTTGGGGAGCCACATACGTTTCAGGACTGTCCAAAGGTAACGCGCATGAAATTCCATGACCCTGGAAGGATATCACCAACTTACCACCCCCGTGGCCATTGTCCTGGCCACCTGCTCGGAACTAGTGCCCACACGGGGGCGTTTCCTCCCATGGCTGGCACTCAGGCCACGCGTCACGGGCAGAGTGAACCTGGGAGCTACCCTTGGAGTGGCCCATTGGGCCAGGCCGCACCCGTGGCATAGCCATCCCAAGCAGGAAGGTGTCTCACAAAGGCAGCAAACTAGATGTCCGGAGGGGATACTGTGGCCACTGTCCCTTGCCACACACGACCCTCCCCTGGGTCTGGTCCACGAGAGGCTGCCCTGCTGCCAGCACGGGTGCGGGGGACAGGGGGCAGTTTGGAGCCAGCATGACAGTACTCCACATATTGTTGTAGGGAAACGAGCCTCCACTGGGACCCCAGGCTGCCCTTTCCCGAGCCACACTGACTGGAGCCCACTTCCAGCACCCCGCTAACAGCTCCCCGCTCCAGGATTCCTCCAGTCTTGCTCGAGTTGCTTCTTTCGACTGTTGCACAGCTTGGAGTAGGGGGCTCCATCGATGTGGCCCCTCGTGGGGAGATCGCATGGCTCCCCCTTTAGCCTCTGCTTGCCTCAAGGTGAAGCAGACTGGGGGCCCTGTAGCCAAGCGAGGAAGCCTAGCTTTGCTGTGTGACCCTGTATGGATCCACTCCCGTCTCTGGGCTTTAGTCCAGTGAGGGGTTTGGACTGTGGTCTCTGGCAACCAGGCCTGTGCCAGGATTGGGGGCCTGATGAGCCAGCGTGGACCCTCACCTCTCTCCTTCTGGGGGCCCCACCATATGCCAGGCCAGGGCACAGGGTGGGGAACCCCCAGCTCTGCCCTCGTCCAGGATTCCTTCAGCAACTTGTCATGGCACAGTCATGTTATGGAGCTAGAACACAAGGATGGACCCAATCCCTTAGTTTTAGAAGCTGGGGGGCTGCCTGGAAGAGGTGACTTGGTAGCTGGGTCTTGAAGTGGGAGTGGGAAAGAGCAGGTCGGTGTGGCTGGAGGGGACTGTGCGTGGGAGGCACACAGTGCACAGAGCCCTAGAATGGCCTTGGATGTCATTCCGTCATCCTGGAGCATCTGGGCCACTTTCCTAGTGGACACTGTATGTTCCTGAAGCTGCCTCTTGCTTGCAGTGGCCGAGAGCTCATGGAGAGAGGGGGGCCGCAGAAAACTGGGCAGGGGATGACCAGTGGCAGGGCCAACAGTGCCCTGGGAACTCTCCAGCTGAGTTGGGGGCTCTGGGCATGCACGCCTGGAGGTCAAGACCCTGGTGGAAGTAAGGTTGACCTTGCCCAGGAAGCCGGGGCCAGCCCGGAGGTCCTCTCAGTAAGCAAGGGCTCAGGGCTGCTCTGCCTGTTCCTGCTGCAGGAAGTGATGAAGGTGTCAGATGGCAGCCTCCTGGGGGACCCCGGGCGCACACCGCTCAGCAAGAAGGAGGGCGTCAAGTGGCAGAGGCCCCGGCTCACCCGCCAGGCCCTGATGCGGTGCTGCCTGGTCAAGTGGATCCTGTCCAGTGCGGCCCCACAGGGCTCAGGTAGGGGCTGGGGCTGGCAGGGAGGAGGGCAGGGGTGGGGGTGGGGGTGGGGGGAGCATCTGTTCTGGGCTCCGTTCTATCTGAGGGCTCAGAGACCACCCTGGGACCCTGACCTCTGCCTAGATTGGGAGATGATGTTTTCATTCATTCGTGCCCTTCCCCATTAATCCAAGCAAGGTACAGCGCTCAAAGCAGGACCCATGGAGGGGGACAGAGGATTGGGGCCATGCTGGGGTAGGCCACCACGGTCACTGGGAGGATAGAGCCAGGCGTCAGAGCCTGACAGGCCCAGCTCGCTCTGCCCGCCCTCAGCGGGTAACCTTGGGCTGTTCACACATCCTTCCTAAGTCCTCTGTAAGAAAGGATGGGCAGTGATGTGTGCAGAGTCCCGGTGAGGAGGAATCCCCGGTCCTAGACCCACTTCGGTCTTGCTCAGTCACCCCAGGGGCCGGGACTGGCTCTTTACCTGGGGCAGCCCCAGGGGAATGCAGCAAACGGCTGCCTCGCACTCACTGGTGGTGATATTTGATGTTTGCTGAGTGTGACAGAGCAGGAGATGCAGACGTGGCCTCACGCAGCCCCCATACTCTCACACAGATGGGCACACACACCGCACGGCGCACGCTTACCTGTGCACACTGACCAACCCACCTGTGCCTCCACCACACACAGCGTGTGCAACCCCCTCATGCACATGTGGGTGCACACATACAGCTCACCCCCACACCCACACACACATGTGTGATCACATGCACAAGGCATGCGGGAGAGTCTGCCTCTTTGCCTTTAACAAAAGGGGCAGACTTGAACCCCAGCAGCCTTTCTTGTTTGTTGTCTCGGACCCTCTCTGCACGATTTCCAGGGAACCTCAGTCCCTCTGACAGGAGAATGGGCACAGACCATGACCCCAGGCTCCCAGGCTTGATGGGAGGAGAGGCGAGGGGATGGCCAAGGCCTGCAGCAGGCAAAGCGGCTGGCAGCCACCTCCATGGAGTGTGTGAGGGGAAGGGGCTGACACTTACCAGGCCCCTGTTCTTTACCCATCCAGGGTGCTCCCAGCACGGGCCCAGGGCCTCCCTCTGCTGCCCCAGAGCTGCTGCCCATCTGTGCTGCTTGTTGCCATCTGCTCCCAACCCCACTCCCCAAACCCCTTCGGCGCTCAGGCCTTGCACAGAAGCACTAGTGCACGTGAATACACAGGTGGGGTCCACGTGTGCTCCCCAACTTCTCGGGGCAACAGTGGGGGAATAGATTTTTGCATGTGGCAGAAACATGAAGTCACTGAAAGTTCATGCAAACCACTCACATGAGAAGCTCACACTGTCGCAGAACTGTCTGCTCTGCCACAGGGCACAAGCATCTCCGTTGTCTCAGAAACTGAGGGCAGAGGTGAAGCGGGGCACTGCGGGCGCTGTCGTGTGGCCAGCTGTGTGCGCCCCTGGGGTCGGTCTGTTCCCACTGACACAGCTTGTGTTGCCTGAGGTTCAAATGCCCTACTAGCTTTATACCCCAAGCTTGTATTTTTTCCTTTTTTTTTTTTTAAGTAGTCTCCACACCCAACGAGGGGCTGAAACTCATGACCCCTGACCCCCCCACCCCCGTCCCCAAGTTCAAGAGTCTCATGTTCTAACTGTGCCAGCCAGGGGCCCCCTCCAGGCTTTTCTTGGCACAGCACAAGCCCAGCACCCCAGTGTCTCTCTCCTTCCCTGATCCTCTCCATCCAGCACCCCCTCTTCACCCCCAGGCTTCGCGCCTGCTGGGTGCCATCTCCAACTTGCAATTTGTAGGCATGAAGCATGGGGCTGGAGTGACGCTTTTTGCACCCCTGAGTACGGGTGACAATGGAGAAAAGCAAGCTTGGAGGCAGGCTTGGTGTGTTCAAGGTCACAAGGAGAGGGGCCTAGAGGGCCACACCCACACGTCCCACCTTTAGCTCAGGGCAGGTTCTGGAGGCCAGGATCTTTCAAGTTAATTCTTGTGCTGAGCTGTCAGGATGTATTTGCTGAAGACTTGTCATAGCTGTGAGCAGGGGGGCAGGAGCAGGAGGCGGAGCGGGTGTAGGGGGGGAGCGGAGCAGGGCCCGGGACACCATCCATGGCTCAGGCCCAGCCTGGTGCATTCCCCTGCATGGACAGGTTTACCAGATACCATGCCAGGCACTCCGACAGTATGTGAAGCCTGGAAAAACAAGATCCTATTTCGTTGTGCGAGGTAGGCCCTGCAGATCCCTCGGTTTTACAAAAGGGTCAGTTGAAGCTCAGGGAGGTCACATGACACAGCAGGTCACAGGGTATTAGGGGCTGAGCAAGGTTTCTGACCTGGAGCGTCTTTCGGTGCCCCAGGCAGGGTACCACTCTGATGTGTGTCTTCCATGTCTTTTCTCTCTGGGACCATCAGGGATCTCTGAAGGTGGCAGCCACCCTCACAGACTGAGGAGCCAAGACCCCAGTGCACCCCTTGTCTCCATTAAGCATGGCTCCCAGACCCGATCTCCTTAGTCCAAATGTGCCCTCTGTGTGTCCCTCCAGGAAGGCATGGCTGGGTTGGTCACACTGAGGGTTTTGTGTGCATGTGAAATGCTAAACTGTGCGCAGGGAAGATGCTTCTGCCCCTTCAGGAGCCTTCATGGGCCCTGGGTGCAGAGAACAATAGTCCCACTCAGTGTCGCCCAGTCCCTGAGCTCAGCAGCGCCCAGCCGCGATGTCCTGAGCGGCAGGTGCCTGTGGAAGGCGGCCACGAGGCCGAGACACCGCACCTTTGTTGTCAGGGGTTTTTCCATTCAGAAGAAGCAGATCAGAGATGGATTTCTGGGACAGCTTTGGGGGGGAGGTGCGCACAACAAAGGCCCAGTAAAATCTACGGATGTGCCTAAGGCTTAGGCAACCGTGTCAAGGAGCGGGTGGCACTCAGGGGCCAGGGTTCGAGAGGGAAAGGGCTGAGCCAGCTGCCGCTGTGCCAGGCCATCCCTCCTGGGCTGTGGAGGCTCCCGCATGGAGTTGGGAGCTCAGTGGTAGCATCTGAGGTGGGCCCAGGAGTGGGGAGCACAGGGCAGGCAGCATGGAGGAGACCCCATCCTCGGCTGAAAAGTGTGTCCCTCACCAATACTGGGGGCTCGTCCTCAGTGCCCAGAGGACTCTGGGACTCTGACCCGCTCTGCATGTCTCCCCAGCATCTAAACATCCTTCTGGTCAGGATGCCAGAACGACTCTCCAGGAGCTTGGCTAGGCTACCGACCCAATAGACCCGCTTCTCACGTGCGGCTCCCTGCGAGGGAGTAGGACTGGGATTCTTCAACTGTAAAACTGTAATAGTAACACCACCCACAGAATAACCTGGGGTCTTGGCAGCAGGCCACTGGATCCAGGCTGGCCCATTTGTCCAAGAGGTATTTACTCTAGACTGGTGGGGAGTTCATAGAAACTCTAGAAGGCCGGAGAAGGAGGCCTGGATGTGATGAGGGCAGGGCCCTGCCTGCCACTCCGGGAAGTGCCCCCACATCCCTCGCCGTCTGCTTGGAACACTGGAGCGGCAGCCACATGCCCCATGTGACATGTGCAGCCGTTCCTCACGCAAACGGACACGCTCCTGCCCCCTCCCCTGCAGTGGAGACCCATCTCTTCGTCAGCCACTGTATCCATCTCTGGGTACCCACCTCTCCTGGACTTTCGTCAAGCCCATGTAAAGTCATAAAGCTGCCACCACCACTGGCATCCTGATAAATAGAGTGGTGGTAGAAAAGTCTGAGGACAAAAAGGTAAACAAATGTCTGTAATCTATAAGGATATATAAATATACGCTGGCAGAATTTTAATGCGTTTGAAACACCAAGACGTGCACAACATTGTGTTTCAAGGTGAGATGCCAGGATTTATCTGGAAACTGGTCACATGGCTCTTGAAGCCTTCACGTTCATCCAAGGTATGGAGAGTTCAGTGGTTGGAGTCTGAGGGGGGAGATGATTGGTGAAGAGGAACTCTCTGGAGAGAGTGTGCTGAGTCCGAACCCCAAGTTGAGAGAGGGATGTTTTAGTTACCTTTTGTCACCCAACAGAATACCTCCAAATCCCACCATTTTGTTTCCTCTCACATCTGTGGGTGAGGCATTAAGGCAGGTGTCCGCTGGATGGCTCTTCTACTCCACATGACATTGACTGTGATGATTCGCTTGCCTTTGTTTAGCTGGTGGCTGGGCTGGACCAGGAAGGTTCCGCTCACATGTGTGCCTCAGTGCCTGTCCCCCTCTCCAGGGCTCCTTACCACACCCCGGTCTCAGTGTGCAAGGGGCTGGCCTCTAACAGGGGCTGTTCCAATAAGAAAAGGCAAGAGAGCTTTTTTTTTTTTTTTTTACAAATAGTTTATTGTCAAATTAGTTTCCACATAACACCCAGTGCTCATCCCCACAAGTGCCCTCCTCCATGCCCATCCCCCCCTCCCCCCACATCCATCAGTCCTCAGTTTTTGTCAGCATTCAAGAGTCTCTCATGGTTTGCCTCTCTCCCTTTCCCCCACCATTTCCCCCCTTCTTCTCCTGGTTGGTCCTCTGTTAAGTTCCTCCTAGTCCTCCTATACGTGCACACATATGACATTTGTCCTTCAGAAAAGGCAAGAGAGCTTTTGAGGCCTAGGCTCCAGAACTCACACAGCATCATTTCCACTGAGTGTTGTTGGTCCAAACAAGTCCCCAGCTCAACCCAGATTTGAGGGAAAGGGAAATAGACTACCTTTGCACGGAGTTGTCGTAGAAAATTTGTAACTGTCTATAAACCACACAGAGGCCTCAGGTAAGAATCCTTGGCAGAGTGATCCAAACTCCCATTCCTGAGGTGGCCTGAGCTCTGGGTCATCCTGCCTATACCACCCCGCTCACTTTTATCCCTGTATTTGGCAATATTAATACATCCCCTGGAGAATTCACTAGATTTGAGACCTAGTGCTCCCCTCCCCCACCTCGTGCAGCTGTAGAACCTTCTCCCCTGGAGGATCAGGATCATCAGCTCAGCC